GCCCATCCCCTCTGGGGGGTGATTTCTCGCTGTCTATCTCTCTCTGTTTTTCTGGTGAGTGCACGCGCCCTATAGCAAAAACCTCTCAAAAAAAAAAATTAAAAACTGATAATGATGACTAAAATTAAATTAAAATAATTCTCAAAAAAATACAAGCAATGCAGACTTTATATTTAAAAACAAAACAAAACAAAAAACAAAAAAACAGTACAGCATGTGTGCACGTGTGCCCAAAAGCCCGAGGAGAATGCAAGAGAAAGGACTGTGGCATGGCCATCCCCTGTGAGGGAGATCTCTCACTTTCTCTCTTTCTCTCTCTCTCTCCCACTCTCTCCAGCAAGCACACATGCCCTATGGTAAAACAAACAAACCTGGGAGGAGAAAAAGAACAAATTACTGAAATACACAACATGGACTAATCTCAAAACCATCATGCTCGGGCCAGCTCCATGGTACAGCAGTAATAAACTGCTCAGGAGATACCAGATAGCACATAGCAATCATGGTTCAAATCCCTGGCCCAGTCAACCTGAAACATGCCAGGAGTGCTTGCAAGTGTCCAAGATCCAATGGGCTAGAGACCTGGAGGACCAGATTCAGTGGAGATATTCTTCCCTCTCTCAGTTGCTTACTCTCTCATGCTCACATGTATATATACATGCTCTATCATAAAAAATGAAACCAAATAGTTGAGATGATAAATTAGTAGATGAAAAACATTTTATTTTCCTATAGGAGTTTGTGTACTCACCAGAGAGAGACAGAGAGAGAAAATGAGAAATCAACCCCCAGCGGGGATTGCCACACTGCAATCCCTTCTCTTCCATTCTTTTTGGTTTTGGGCATACACACACATGTGCCTAACATGTTTTACAAGCCACCAGATCCAGGACTTGAATTGTGTAGTCAGTCCTGAGGGACTCAGATGCCTTAACTGCCACACTGCCTGGCTGGTCTGAGATGGTAACTTAAAAAAAAAAAAAAAGTTATGCTGCACCAAAGCATCCAAACACAGGAGTATAAACTGCATGATTGCAGTTAGGTGACATTTCAGAACAGCTAAAATCACAGATGGTGACAGCAGTCAGAATACTAGGGGACCGTGGGACCAGCAGTTAGCATAATGGCTATGTCGCTGGACTCCCATGTAGTTGACTGTGGTTCGAGGCCCGGTGGCTTAAACTCACACCAGGCGCGTGTGCGTGTGTGCCCAAGATCCCAAGAGGAGAATGGAGGAGAAGGGATTGTGGTGTGGCCATCCCCTCTGGGGGGGTGATTTCTCGCTGTCTATCTCTCTCTGTTTTTCTGGTGAGTGCACGCGCCCTATAGCAAAAACCTCTCAAAAGAAAAAAAGAATGCTAGGGGACCTTTCTATCCCAGTCCTGTGTTCTGACCGCCATGGCGGACAGTCTAGTTGCCCTCCATCCTAGGAGCTCCCTATGTGGGGGTGGCCCTGGAAAGGCTGGACACTCACATGCAGTTCCTGGCAGCCAGGTCCCGGTGTATGAACCTCTTGGTACTCAGGTACTCCATGCCGCTGGCAATGTCTGTCATGAACTTCACCAGCATCTGAGTGGGCAGGAACTGGGGGCCGAGGCAAAGTGGCAGAGATCAGCAGTGTCCCCGAGATTCGTACCTTCTCTCTTCCTCCTTGGCTTCCAGTGTGTACCCAGCTCTGCCCGCGGCCACCCCTGC